GATTTGGCAAGCTTATGACATCACTTAGCAATGCCTTAACAGTTGTAAGCTCGAATGTGGTTTCACGGCGCCCTCGAATGTCCACTGTTTAATCCTCACTCTTAAATAGAAGCAAACTTCAGTTGTAGTTTAGTTGAGTTTGTTCTGCTGTACTGAACCATTCGCTTGAGAGAAGGCTAAAGAGCTAGAGAACTTGCTCCTAGCAAAGTAACATCTGTTAGTTGTTCCCGTTAATTTTATTCTATTTTATTTTACTTTTCGTTAACTCTATTTTGGTTTCTGCCTTGTGTAATTAGCCTGCTTTGTTGCTGTTGGTTTGCATGTATAACAAATTGCTTTGGAAATCCTTGAATCCTCCTCGACCGCCGCATCCTGTTACATAAGGCTAAGGGAACTGCAGAATAATCAAACTTTTTTTCAAACATGTGTCCTACACCCTTTCATGGGTAAAATAAAGGAAATCTTATTTTGGACGGAAAGTCAAGAAGAACACTGCTGGCGGGAACGGAAGCGTTTTGAAAATAACTCGCATCAATGGTCATTAGTAACATTCTGCGTACAGAAAAGCTAGAGAGTAAGATAGCATTTTACGGCAAATTGAAATAAGTGCACGCTGTGAAAGCAACCAGCGTACGAGTTGCTAGGCCGAGTGTGATAATAATGATTTTAAACTATTAAATAAAGGGGGTAAGTTTCTATGGAAACTGTGGTGCTGCAACGTCCTTCACTTCAAATTGGAGTTAACGGCAAACTACTGAAAATATCTCCTAACTGTATAAGAACAATAACAACAACGGTTTATTAAACTCTCTTGCAGTAACTTACGATAAAAACTTAATGAGATCAATTATGTACATTTCTGTATATATTAAGTACAAATTACATACGCCATACTAGTACATGCATTACATTTGTTAAAAATACTTAAAAGTGAAAAGTGCGCTTCGTTCTACAGGTAGTAACGTTTCTGTAAAAGTACAGCTAGGTATCGTCTAGGCGTGTTGGTAGAAGAGGGTGGTTTAAGTCCTTCTGTGACGATAGGTTTTCGCTCGCTGTAAATGGACTTTTGCGGGAACGTACAAACGGGGGAAAATAGCTCGGTAGAGACCACTCGGCTTGCGAGAACGGAAACTCTTCACGATTTCCTGGCACACGGAGATCTACTTCTAGTGAGCTTGTACGGACGCCAAGGAGGAGACAGCGTTTTGGTTCCACAGTTCTTTTATTCGCAGAGCGCTCTAACACACAACATGCTAGAGTCAAACTAAAACTGTAATCATCAAAGCTGTACAAGGTACTTGCTTAAGAACTAACTGGTATGAGGTGCTATTGTTACAAAGATCGCAATATTTGAATAAGGACGCAAAGGAGCGGAAAAAGGTCTCTTTGAAGATAAACGAAAATTACTTAGATATTCCATCTGTTTCTACGACGGAAAGAATCTCAAAATTAAAAAGACGGATGCAATAAACTCGAACCCTAACAAGGTGCAATTCTTGAAATGACTGATAATCAACCCAAAACTGTCAACAATTTTGATCACATGGAAGTCCCATCACGGCCTAAACGACACAAGGACTTAGGGGTTCGGGAATTTTATAAGGGCCATATATATGGCCCTTATATGAACAAATCAAACAAGATCTATATTCTTGTCCAGGAACTGGACCATTTGTTGCCTCTGTCTTATTTTGATAATTTTCTGTACTTTAAATCAGTCTTGATTATAAGCTGCTTTACATTACCACATTTGCTAAGTCATTGAAAAGGGAACCTTTACTCATAAGTGTCTCTTAGGTGTAATTTCTCGCAATGCTTGCACTGTTAGGAAGTATACCGAGTTAGGGAAGAGATCTATTTTAGAAAATGGTTTAATTAATGTTATGTATGTTCCATTCTTTCACATGATGTTTCAAAGTTTGTCTGTTTTATTTTTATTTTTTGGAATGGATTGCCACACCGGCACGGCGTACTCTAGAACAGATCTAACAGAGCTTGTGTAGACCTTTAACATTTTCTCTTGATCAACGCCGGCTCGACGTAGAAAGCTGGTGACGGTTGTTGATCATTGTTGTTGATCATTGTTGTTGATCGATGAGATGTTGCCTTGTCTCTTCGCCCAGTTTGATTAAAATTTATCTTTCAAACCACAGGCGGCCTCAGCTCTAGCTGTGAAATGATCATCATGCGCAATAACAGTCATGGCGGAATTATAAGAGTTTGTATGGAATATTTATGACCACTCTAAGGAATAAAAAAATAAGTCAAATTCTCAATAAAATACCTCACCTTACTTCCAAAGCGTATCGCTTGTTATCTGACCGCATACATAAACGAAAAGAACCCATTTTAGCGAGTTATCCATTTTTAGGTTTACTACATAAGAGAAGCCCTTCCTACAGCTGGAGCTTGGGCCGCGTGCGTATCAACGAGCACTTTTTATTCAACTGATCTATTCTTGTTTTCTCGTCACCATATTTCCACCAATAGCGCTGCTCCATTTTCTGCCTAGAAACAGTCACACAACCCCATTCCTTCGATCGCTCTGACGAAGGGCTAACACTCGAAACATCAGCTTTTAAACTCTTTACTGTGGCAAATTTACGTTCTCAACTCAGTTGAATTAAACTTTTGTTAAAAGTCTGCGAACCGTTAAATGAAGTTTCAAGTCCCACAGTTAATCTATAGTCAATGGATTAAGCAATAACTATTAATTACAGTTGATCACAACCGGATGGTGAAATGAATTCGTCTAACACGTTCGTTATGTGAAAATTAGTTTGTCACCAAATGCTGATGAGAATAAAAAATTCAGAAAAAATACATCTTCAAAGGTTAACCCTTTACACCCCAAGATCAGTATAC